GATCAACAACGAAACACTGCTCGGGTTCAGATCCCAGAGGCCGTTCCTCCCAATCATACCCCCTCCAGGTCTCACTATCATTGCCCACATGAGCGTTGAAGTCTCCCAGTAGGACAACAGAGTCCCCAGATGGAGCACCCTCCAGCATCCCACCCAGGGACTCCAAGAAGGCTGGGAACTATAAACCGCCACTGAGCCCGCAGACAACAGCACAGGCCCTTGCCGGGCACAGGTTGGCCTGACTCCAGGGTGGGGCCCCAGTAACCCTATCCTGGGCACGGTGAACTGTTCCCTTGGTGTTCTACTCATAGGGTCCTTCTGAATTGCTCTTGTCTGTCCCTCACCCAGGACAAATTTTCCACGGGAGACACTACCAACAGGCAGAAGCCCCTGGACAACATAGCCCCTGGGATCCCTAGTACACACAAACCCCTCCACCACGATACGGTAGCAATTTGCGGAGGGGAGAAACAGGAACAAATGTTTTTTTGTTTGTTTTATTTGTGACAGGGTATGTGTAAGAAAGTACTTAAATATAGAGTTTAAATTTGCTGTTTTGCTAAGTTATCTGTTATGTGTAGACACAACACTGATTCATTCCTTGAGTTTGGTGTCTTTTCTATGGTTGAATGATTCATAGGTCAGTGTTGAGTGACTTAACAAACAAAAGCAAACATTTCTCTGAAAATTGTAAGCTACAAGGACTGGACTGAAAGAGCTCTTTAAAAAAAGAAAGTCTGGCTCCTTGGAAGCAAAATATAAAGAAATCAGGAGTGACTCAAAGAGATTACACAGTACTGTAAAACTCTTATCTGTTAATCCCTTAATAACATTTTCTTGATTAAAGTCTAACTCATAAATTTAAGAGGTTTGGATGCTGTCAGCTCAGTGCACGTTCCATCTGGAAGGTTTGTTTGTGAAAGTATTTTCATGAATTTGGTTTAGTCATTAGTTGTGGGTCAAAGGCAACAGGCTATAAACTCAGCTAAACTTTAATGGAGCTCTGGGGTTTTCATGTGTCTTATTGCTTCTGACTACTCAACATGTAATCACATAACAGTCCTTATCATGTTTTTTTAATCTAGTGATGATTTTAAATGATGCAGGCCGGCATTCTAGCAAATAAATATTGTGTTTAAAATATTTCACAACAAGATCAAACAAAAAATAAACCCTTAAAAATCAGGATCCTGTCACGGCCCGCGAGGGCAGACCGTGTGGAGAGTGTGTTTGGTGGACCCAGGTGTGGACACAGACGCTGGAGGCAAAACTTGTGCTAAGCTCAAAGCGAGCCTTTAATCAGGGCTGATACAGAAGGCAAAATAACAAACCATAAACTATGGGAATGACAAAACTAAAAACCTAAACTGGGAGTCACTAAGGCTATGAACGAAGACCAGGACTGAACTATGACGAAGTACTGTGGACAGACTATGAACACGACAAACTGTGAACGAGATCTCGGTGCTGGGACATGAAGGTGCAGGGAAACATGACTGGAGAAAGTGACTATGAACATGTCCAATACCGAATCTTGCAGACTAGAATCATGACGTGCAGCTAGAAATAATAGGGTGCATGAACAGACGACGCGACACTGACACGAAGACACACTGGGCTAAAATACACTGAGGAAGTCATCAAGGAATTAGAG